GGGGGACATAACCAATATCGAAACGCGCAAAGTTCGTCACCTAGAGTTGCTTCTCCTCCACCGCGTGATAGACTGTGATCCATTTGATAGTTTTAAGTCGATTGGTAGCACTATTCCAGTAGTATGGGTCCCTAAAGACATAAGAGTGAAGTGCCACTCAGCTCAATCTTTTCAATGATGAACGCGCCTCAGCATAAATTGGCCCGTTGGTTAGTGAATTTGCTATCTCCGCTGAAACAACAGTTCGATCCATACAGTCATAAAGACTCATTTCAACTCATCGGTGACTTGGATGGGTTCAACCTGTTAGCCGAATTCATATGTTAATTGGATGTAAAATCCTTGTTTATCAACTTCCAGCTACATAAGATAGTCGATTACGTGTGCGAATTAGCTGAAGACTGTGGCTGTTTCTTACGAATCCCGACTGAATTGCCGAGAGAATCTCTACTGTTGTGCACGGAGAATGTGGTTTTTCACTTCGCATAACACACCGTACCGTCAAATTAACAGTGTAACAATGGGTAGCCTATTGGGTCCTGTTAGCGCTGATTTCTACATGTTGATGATAAAAAGAAGCATTTCTACGGAAGTAGACCAGGTGCCCTACTACAAACGACATGTCGATGATATCGGCTTTTTGTGCGTCGGAGCAGCATCTCACACATCTGGTAGAACGCCTCAATGGTGCTCATGCTTACGGGTTACGTGCGAAGTAGAACAGAACAATTGTCGGCCATACCTGGACATACTCATAAGTCGCAGGGATGATGGATTGATTAAGAGGTCCATTCACGAAAATCAACTTGGTCCGGTCAATACCTACACTTTATCAGCTTCATATTAGTGCGGTACAAACGGACGCTTGTGAGAACGAGTTAGCCTTGCCTAACGAATTTGTTCGGCCGACTGTCTGGACAATGAGCTAGTGTTAAGTACAGCAACACTAATGGCGTACGGCTACCCTAGAATATTAAGGGAGTTAAACAGCCAACCGTGAGGGCCAAAGGACTTGGTGCACACAGCAGCCAAGCAGAAAGTGTATTTCGAGTTACTTTTCACAGGTGAGTTGGCCACACTGAAGACAACTAAGCGTATAATTTCGGCTACGTAAGGAGGTTGCTATGCTGCACAAGTTGTCGTAACCAACCGAACCCAAAATTTGCCCATACCTCTAACGATGGAAGCTCAGCCTATTAGGTCCAACTCACACTGTGTATACCAATTCCTGTGTGACTACGGGAACAGTTACATAGGCATAACTAATAGGACTCTGACTTCCCGAACAAAGCAGCCCGTGCCAAGATGGCTTCAGTGTGAAGTTGCTCAGCTTTCCTACCCACGTCAGACTCCGTGCTCGCCTTGACCACCGGTCAATGGGGTAGAGGTTTCGGCTAATATTCCAATAATTGCGGGTTCGAGGCCTGCTGTCTCTACCTGATGAGATGAAATGACATCGACGACTTCGACTGTTCGGCGCAGTTCTTGAACTCGTCCAAAACCGCGAAACAACATGTTGGGCTGTTACGGAGTGCGTTTCAGTGGTTCGATCCCTCCATCTTCTCCCAAACGTTCAGTGAGTATGTGAGGCTCCATGCAGAGTAGGCGATCCAGGCTTAGCAACCCTGGTTAAAACGCGACCTGGTTGCAAAGAAGACCGCACAACGACGGGTAACGAAAAAATGTGAAGGCGTTGTTCCACCTGCAATTGCATAGGCGACTGAAAGCCCTGTGAGTGTACAGCGGAAGATATCGCCGTCTACGAGGTGACCTCATCCTGGTGTTCCAGATTTTTAAAAACCCCGGTCACGCTTGCCACCACCTGAAGCTTAGTTACAACACAGAATCGTGGGGTCATAACTTGAAACATGACATCTAATACAGTCGGCTTGAGTGCCACCGGAATTATTTTTCCCTTCGAGTTTGTCAACCGTGGAACGCTCCTTCGACTTTCGTCATTTCAGCGCCCAGGCTATCTATTTTTAAAAAAACGACTCGAGGATGCTTTAGCCCATTTACATTGCTTGATCTGTTTCTGTTTACTGAGTGACCACAAGACGCAGACAAACATTGTGCTCACCAACCCCACGAAATCAGGGTAGATGGATATACTTATATGTTAACATGGATAATATGGTGAGTCCAAAGAAACGTTTTTCACTTTTGTTCCAACGTCCTTGAGCTAAGATTATTCCCACAAACCATCCCACGTGACTTGTCAAGCCTTGGCATTTTTATCCGTATTATACCATTATTCCATTGTTCCTCGATAGGCAAACACCTAGTAGTCTCGAATCACCGGGTGGAGCTAGGTTCGGTATTCAATGTTATGTTACGTCACGTTAATCTCCACTTCCTTCGGTCTGCTGAGGCGGTGGCTATAAGCAGAATGAAGTCAACGCTGTGCGTTCATAAATAATTTTTGCCAGCCTAGCTGCTTTGCATGTCTTGCATCTCAAGCTTATCTGGTTGAACCCACAGTTAGCTATATCTATGTATATCGGCTATTTTTAATGGTTCTAAGGCGACAATACGAAATGCGTGCATCCACCAGCCTTCGTCTTCTTTACTTGCTTTTCAAAATAATGAATTATTCAGAAGTCTTGGTCGCAAAGTTACGAGCTGGCAGCTTAGTTCTTATACTGGTATTCAAGATGGTTACCACGTGGCCTCGACTACTGAATTTATCCTTAATTGTATTGGCTTTTTGGTGACCTGTACAAACATTCGCTTAAGTGAAGCCTGGGATACGGTCCCAGTGATCGAAATGGCAGAGGATGAATTCAAACTCAACCGAGGGCACAATTTGGATTGCGTGTCGCAATGCAAGACACGACGAGTACTCCAAAACCCAACATTAGCCTACGTCTTGCTTCACTCATGTGTTACACTCTGAGGATGCACCGAACCAATCACACGGAGTGAGGAGGACGGAGATGAAAAGCCGAAAGCCTATTACTTGCTTGAATCCGGTAAGCACGGATGGTGTCAGTGTGTCGCGGCCCCCAATGACTTATTGAATCTGCATCTGCACAAAATGGAAATAATGGTGCACCAAGGGTAACTTATGTATTCTTGACAGGTTGCTTAGGATGGAATGGTGAATAATGCGGAACACAAACTACTAGCAGCAAAATAAGGCAATTTTTATGGGTTCACTCGAAAGCTAAGCTGTACACACCGATTATTGCCTAGCGAAAAAGGGCTATTTAGCATAATATAAGTGGTTGAGAATATCGTCAGAATGGGCTATTGCCTTTTGCTGTGCTTCAGCATTTATGATGTGAAAAAGCTCTGTCGTCTTCCATTTTTCATGAGTTGCATGTATAGCCCAAACAAAGCGAAAACAGCATTTATAATACATTCACAAGCCACCAAAGCACTCATTAATGCATATAACATATATACATATATGGTATATTCCTGGACAACGCGAGGCACAATCCATCTGAGTGGTCTGATCAATAGGTACAACGGAATCGCATAAAAGGAGCATTATTCACCCCCTCATACAATACATTCCAAACGGATTTTTAACGTGATTGGCAGGTTGAGTACAATAGCGACAGCTTAAGAAAAAGGGAACATTAATATGGGCAGATTTAATCAAGTGTTCAAGTAGATTAATACAGCTATAGTGAGGCAATGACACTGTAAAGTTTAACTAGAACTGGTTTCTGCTCCAAATTGTATGGTCTGTTTGAGGATGTGGTATCCCCATACGCAAAACCAAGTATTCTTAGACATAATTTCACTCAGATGTGCTTTGAAGAGCGGCATTAGTAGACAACATTCTCAATTCGCACCATTAACATATCTTTGACTACCCGTGGTTTAAACATTTTACAGACTACCGATTAGCAAACTGTTCTACTCTAAAGTTTATACACTCTGTCCTTCGTCTTATGATTGCAAACCTATTCGTATGTCCATTGTCTATAACTTGAACGCTGGAACCACGGTTACAGGAACTTACTACTTATTTCTTCCGCCCATACCATGTCTAAAGTTTAAGTTTACCAGTCTACATATTTTTCATTTACGTTTCGTATGACTCACTTAGTCTAGGCCTTGCATCTCCAGTACAGCAGACGTACTTATCCTATTAAGCGGTTTATGCAACACCAACCACAACGAGTGTTGTGGGTTTGATGGTTGTTCGCCATGAGTGGCATTGACCGGCGGTGAATGCACTCGACGTGGAACGGGCTTCCACAGCCCGGCTTGACAGTGCCTGAAAGATTGAGGCACATTGTGGAGTACGACTGATAACCACTAATTACATGTATCAGGTGCAATAAGCCAGAAGTTTCAGGTCATTGGCCCTATGTCACCGTACAAACATTTACGATGCAGCTTGGGATGCATGCTCATGACGAGCCCCAATATGAGGAAACGGCCGTTTGGTGCTTTGCCAGATTTATGGTAAGCTTTCTGACTTGGAATCTAAAATGATAAACGCTTAGTAAATTTACATTAAAACCATCATCATTAGTAAACAAAACATCCATTCTGAGGCATTCCAAATAATGCGCCATCCATGGCTGCTGCTGTGAGAACTCAAACTCTGGGAGGTCAGCCTAATTTGCTGCAGTGTTGTGACTTACATGCTAGCAAGTCGTGGCGGGCTTCCGTCTTCACCCGTGGCACAGTGGCATAAACTGTTAGGGAGCAGTGCAAGCCGCTACAATCTTATTGTTTTTGTTCATCCACTCCTGATACCCTCGCATCTCTGTGTTACTGATACATATACATATTTCAACTGTATCTTTCCAGGCCATCCTATCAGTAAGCTGATAAGGAAAAAGGACTGGGATGTGCTGTTCCCAAACCGATGGTTTAAGAGTACCGAATGGAAAAAAGAATACGATGCATCACAGCCCTGGTATTATCCGGAGATGGCGATGGATTATTATGCGTTTGATACATTCATTAAGACTGTGAAGCTACTGAGTAGAAAGGGCTACCACAACTTTGTCAATGAGCCAGGATCCAGCACAATGGACCGTAAGCGTGAACTTTGTGCCTTTCTCGGCAATGCGGCGCACGCAACCGGGCACGGTAAAGACGGGCTCTACTACCGTGAGGAATTGCAGTTCGAAAGAGTTGTTAATCAAACGAACCCTGAATATCGAAGTGTGGGTTCTAGAAACAGTTATAAGATGAGCGACAAACCAGTTCTATTTCGAAAAAACTCCATAAAGCATGGCCAAGTTCGTTTTCTTGCTGCCTCATATCATGGACGAGGACCACTGCAACTCTCCTGGGGATATAACTATGGTGATTACAGCAAGTTCTTGTACAACGATCCTCAGGTTCTATTGGAGAATCCTGATCAACTACTTGATAAGCCCGAGGTTGGCATCGGTGCAGCCATCTGGTTTTGGATGACGCAGCCAGATTGGAGACCGGAGTACATACCGCATAAAATGATGTACAAGCCAGAGGACGGAAATTCATGGGGATTCGGTCATACTATAATGGCTATAAGTGGTGGACTTGAATACGATGCCAAGGAGAACGGGAAGGGGAATCGTGATGTCCTTGTAACGCGGAGGATCGACTATTATCGCCGTTGTGCGGCGCACTTCAAGATATCCGTCGGCAAGAATGGGGAAAAGATGGATACAAGTGGTCTGCTAAGATGAATTCGGCGTTTGGCTTTTTATTGTGCTGCTTAACTTTTCAAGGATCTGATTTACACGTCGAGGTTTTTGAAGTACAGTTTGCTAAAAGAAATTCAGACTTAATATAAAACCAACATCGTTGTTCAACTGTGTCGGTTATGGTGACGTTTGTATTTTAATCGAATGATGAACCTGGTAGTTGTTCATAAATGTACTCTGGTAATCGTAAATGAATAAGTATCTTAATGCCCTGTAGTCGTACTTCGGGGACACAATGCTTGAACTCAGACGGAGTACAGTTTTATGGCCAATGTCGTTTTTTGACCATCTGCACGGTGTGCGGACATTAAAAGATAAAAGGTGGACTTGTGTCCTAGATCTTAAATACAGCCAAGGCTTTCAACAAAAGGTGATTGATGCAATCGGTAGTAACTTGATTACAAACGGGAAAAATGTGTAGAAAATAGGGGGAGAAGGAGAGATCATTGTCGATTTTGGTTAGTGTCTAAATGACACTTTCTGGATGCTTATTACAAGAGGGAATTTTTGAGTGAAGCGCCCTACCTATACGCTGTCAGCATTGAGGGCTAGCAATCCCACTTGGACGTTTTCGATTACTTATGGAGATAAAACAAATAAGGTAATTTGCGCGAAGTAATATGCCCAAAGTGGTATGCATCATTAACACCACCGGTCTTTATCTCCAAGTTGTTTCTTACTAAGTAAATCGTACACAAAGTCAGCGCGCGTGACCGATACGCTGCTAATGAGCGACCGTCTTTTGTGACAACCGTCATCCCATCGAAGTACCTCATGGAGGAATTTCTGTTACCCGAAAAATTTCTCGGCGTAGTCTTATGTCTTCATTACGTCGTTAATTTGAATCGGGTCAATTTCCGCTGTGCGTAGACGATATTTACGAGCAGTAAAACACATTCACGGCAAAGGTTAAGACAGTGACTAAAACTCACCCCTAATATGTCTTTCTTGGACGGCAAGAGGTGCAAACATTGGTCAATAAGGACACTTCAACAGTTAGTCCAGCGTACGAAGTTAGGTCACTCGTGCTATGGGGCGGATTTCGACTCAACAGTGATACACAAGACAGCAGGGCAACTGAAGATTTGCTTCAGCGACTCCAACCGGAGCATTGGTTCAGTGGTCTGACTCATCAAATAACAGGAAGCAGTTCCCTCGGAATTTGTACTACTAATAAGAATTAGAATAGTAAGAGTAATAATAAAATGTGTATCCTGGGATTTACGAGGTCTGATCCTTTCCACATGATCAAATTTTTACAGTTGTTGCGTATAATATTTACAGCATATTCCAAATGACAGGCAGAAATAAATACCATGTTAATAACATCCAGTTCAAAGGCTTAAAGGAGCAGAGAATAATTCATGGCGTCCTGATGGAGAGCGCCGTGTACCGACAGAACCACGTTTTCTTTTCCTTGAATAATGAATGGGCAGCAATTGGTGGTGACAAGCCAAGTTTAGCTGGAATCAAACTTACTCAACACAGCACCTAATTTAAGCCAAGCGTTTTCTATACATTGGGCATTCTAAAAGAATTCTCTTCTCCGGAAGTGGCTGTCTGCGTCCAGTTCAGTAGCCGTACATACGTGGGTAAAGCAAAAAGTTCCCGGGTGCACATTTTATGTCTTACAATAACATAAGCATTACATATTCTCGAAGTACTCTCCATCAGCTTTTGTGCATTGTTCCATGCTCTCAAACCATTTGGGGAAGCAGCTAGACCACGCCGAAGTGAGTAACCCGTCAAACAGCTCAATAGAAGCCTCTACTGCAGTTTCTGGAGACGTAGTGGATTCCACTCGTCATGAACTTGAAATCTGGAAACACAAGTCATACGGAGCCAGGTCTGGACGTTAGGATGTGTGACCAACTTCCTGGATGCGTAATTTAGCCAGCAAACTTACGAGGACATGGGACTTGTGTGCAGCTGCAATGTCAACTTGTACCAAGGTCCATCGTACTCTAGTCCCTGGACAACGCGTGACCACAGCTTCCAGTAATTATGGCAGACAGTGGGTGGCATACTAGTCTCCGGTGACTGTATTTTGCCACGCGAGCGGTACAGTATTCACATGACCGGTCTTGGCTACGAACTCAGCCACCATATGCTTGGCCTCACTGCGCTCAAGCCGGAATTTTGAATCGGCGCCCCAAAAGGGGCCGTCCACCGTGCTCATTGTTGTTTGATCTCTGGGTCGAAACTGTACACGCAGGTCTCATCACCCCTGAGTGTCTCCCAATCAGCATTGAAACGTCCACCATCAAATCTGATTAACATGGTGCAGCATCAATTCACCCAAGATGCTTGCTGGTCCTCACTGAGCTGATGGGGTACCCAGCGAGTGCAAACCCTTCTGAGGCCCAGGTTCTCATGTAGTGTGGTGCGTAGTGATCTCGATGAGATCCCGATGGCTTACCTTAGATGTACTGCAGTCACCCGCGTTCTCCTGCACCATCGTTTGCATAGCAGCCATATTGTCCGTGGTGGTGGCCTCAACAGGTCGACCACACCGTGCCTCATCATCCAGGGACTGTTTGGTAGGCTTGAATTCCGCAAACCACTCAAACACAGTCCTTTAATTCGCATCCTCAACATACGCAGTACACAATTTCTCAACACTGATGCTGCAATAAACCACATTCACAGTTATAGAAAATCATCGTCCTTCACTGACGTCGACGGAGTTCCATACATACAGTTAGAGTATAGCGACCCTTATGACTTTGAGGTGTAATGGGCAGTTGATAAATGATTCAGTGACTTGAAATCAATAAAAAATGTTAGGAATGGATTGGACTTCACATTTTTCTTGCTAGGTCATCTAATGTGTGTACTGCGTACTCGGATACTTATTGTACTGCTCTTGCATAAGGCGAGACGGATAGAATGGGTGATTTGTTTGCTGTGTGTGAAGCCAAGGTTGTTGATACTTGTTAACTGGCTCCGGTGTCTTTTTTCAACTGCACGCTAGGCGTCAGGGAGAAGAGGAAAAAGGTAGGGAAAACATTGGAAATTGGGATAAACATGTTGGAAGCAGAATCGGTTAGCATCACCTTGCTTCCTGACATGCTTACATGAGGGCACTATATTAAGCGTAGCCGAGTGAGAGAAAAACGACTGTTACATCTGAGGGAAGATTGCGGATTCAGTCAGCATTTCCTTCTCAATTCACCCTTTTCGGTATAGCTGTGAGGTACGCGTAGCTGACCAAGCAGAATATCAATAGTAGAGACAAAATGGTAGGTTCAACCATAGTTTGCAATTCTCATGCAATCCACCTATTTTGGTGTGTCAGTAAAGCCTGAAGAGAGACCGCGAAGCCTGATGGTCTCATCGTGCATCGGAAATGGAAACAGCCGCTGCTGTTGGTAATCATCGTAAGTTACTCTTTCTGATAAAGGAAACAGGCAGCAGCAGGCCTGTTGTTAACGAGACAATACGCAGCAAGAGTGGACAGCCAATCCACAGCTTGTCAAAACGGTTGGAGGGTTGGGCCGAACATTTTGCTATTAAGTTTAACCAATCTGTTATCGCTTTCTCTTTCGGGCATTGATTGTCCTCGTTCATGGACCGTCTCCTTAAATCCGCGCTCACGCAGAACTCGAAGGTGAGATCAGACTGCTGAAATTGCATAAGACCGCTGTTGCAGATAGAATTACCCCAGCTCTCTACAAATTCGGGGGACCTGCTCTTGTTGATGATATACACGAGTTGCTAATGAAACTTGGGGAACGGTAAACTGTCCTGACAGACTGAAGGAGGCTCCCGTTCGGAATGCGGGAATCATAGAGGGATCAGTCTGATCTCAAATTGTTCCAAATTAGTTACCTCTGTCCTTCTCCACAGATTGACTGGCGCTCGTGAAGGCCAGATCCGAGAAGAGTAAGAAGGGTTTCGCTGAAATCGGGGCTGTATGGACCACATCTTCACTTTGCATCAATCGCTGGAGCACCGCCATGTTTATTAGTGACCCACCGTTGTCGTGTTTCTCGAAGTCCTAGGTGCGTTCGATTCAGCTGATCGATGTACCCTTTGGGAGTGTCTGCTGAGGAAAGTTGTGGCCGTTAAATATGTGAACATTATCAATGCGCTGTACACGCATAGTTCGGGCAGAGGAATGGTTTACGGCAAACTGTCGCCAACCTACAGTATCACGAGCGGTGTGAGACAAGGTTGCCCGCTGTCACCTTTCCTATTTAACTTCGCTATTGATGAAGTCATGGAAACAGTGTTCGCTTGACACGAACTAGAACGTGTGAAGCTACTTCTTGGTGGACGACTTCTTGACTTGGAGTATGCGGACGACACTGCCCTCATATGTGACAGCGCCCAAACGTGCCAGGCTGTACTGGACCGATTAGCACTGGCTGTCAATCGTTTTGGGCTATGGTTTGCTCCATCAAAATGCGAAGCTCTTCTCCAAGCTTGGCAGGGACACACCTCTACGATCAGATAGAAGTCGTTCAGGAATTCGAGTAACTGGGCGGCTATATTAACGCCCGTGAGATCGAAACTGAGATTACGAACCGTATAGCAAAAGCTCGAGGTGCTTTTGACGATCTCCGCCACCCGTGGCGCAGACGCGACATCACTCTCTCCCTGAAGGGTAGAGTGTATAATGCAACCGTTCGTTCAACCTTCATATACGGTGGTGAAACCTTGCACATCAGGTCGATAGACATAAAGAGGCTGGTCACGTTCCATCATCGTTGCGTTCGCAGCTTAGCTCATGTCTGGTGAGAGCATTGCGTGAGCAATCAGCGTGTTCGGCGTCGCGTATTTGGTGCAGGAAGAGCGAGTGAGTAACAGCACCATTAAATCACGCACCAGGCACCGATGGCTGGGCCACGTGTTTCGCATGCCAGCACAACAACTCCCGCGACGTGCGTCGTTTGCGCGTTGTGGGTGCGGTTGGAAGAGGAAGTGCGGAACGCCAAGCGATGACTTGGTCAAGAGGAATGAAAACCTTCACTTCGAAGTCGTCGTCGGTTGGTGCATCCCGACAGCCTGGCTGGAGTCCAGGGATGATGAACACCTTTGGTTGGACACACTCGCCGATATGGCTAGGAACCGGCTCCAATGGCGTTTGCGTTGTGCGTTCCTTTGTCCACCCTCCGCTTAGCCTCCCCCTCCAATCACGATCTCATTCGTTAGGCGTAATATAATTCTCTTTTTGAAGCCCGACAGACGGCTGTTCGCTTTTCAGAACGATGTCCATCTGTTACTGAGGACGCAGCCGGCGTGCCTCTCTTGTTTTATTCTTTTTGTCTCTTGTATTGCGGCACAATAGCTGAGGTGTTTTCCACCTGCAGCTAACGTGTATACTGAGGATGATGATGATGGTGCTGTATCAGTGAAGTGTGGTTTACCGAGTAAAGAAAGAAAGAGCGCCGGGTAAAAAACCACGTGAAGTGGGTTCTGTCAACTTTTCATCCTTTTTCTGTTAACCTCTTCAGGAGGCCATGGCCAAATAAATTTACCGTATTCAGCACATTTTCTGTATATTTGTATTCTCTACGTTTACATCTTTGGTCCCCTTCTCAAATAGCACATTTTCATTCTAATTTAGTTGCAACATTGTTTTTACGTATTGCACCATCAGGCAGTTTGAAACTGCTATTTCAACCACTGGTTGCGATTCGCACGCTCTTAGTTCAGTAGGGAGTCTGTCGCAGATCTCAGTGTACCGTTTTTGTGGAATTTTCGTTTAACCTTAATTTTGTTTTGATCACTGGGAGTTTGTTCTTGATATTCCTAATTGCTTGAAGTGATTAGTGTTATTTGGTGCGAATACACGCCTATGGACCAAGTGAAATAGGAATGTTAATCCTAGCTTCAAGTCAAGTATTCGCTTTTATGCATCCATGAAGGGCGAATTTTCAGCGGTAACACACACGCGATCGAAACGGTAAGGAAAAACAATGTAATGCTTGCGAAAAATGGTAAAAAAGAAGCTAAACCAATGTTTCGTATGTGTTAGAGGATCACTAATATAAATTGCTGTTTAGTTCTTGAACGATAACATTCTGTTCAAGCAGAAATCTAGCTACAAAAGGAATGACGTATGAGCTGTAGCCCGCGTGCGAGCAGATATGGCTCTGTAGTTTCCTCGGGTGGAGGAACTAACTTTGCAGTTGGATAAAACTCTATGTAAGGGATGGCTGATATCAGTGAATATGATCGAAGCACATTCTGCGTACGAATTAACATGATTAGATACAAGGTGTTGAACTAAGGTTGATTTCGAAATGCCACTGCGTCGAAGTATGTGTTACTGCGACCTATGCAGTAGTTTGAAATGCTTACCCAATAGGCTCGGAATGATCACAGGAGAACAGTAAGTCCAGTGTAGTAGAACACATGTAATGATGAATAGCAAAATCAACTGGCGGGACAATCAGGACGAACGAAGACGTGAGACATAAAAGGACGGTCGCCTTATTTTGGTAAATACTTCATTCAAGTGATTTGACCACTATAAATCATGGCTCATTATAAATCTCATCTACTTCATTGATGTCGAGAAGATTAGGCTCTCACCACTGAGGTGAAAGTGGGGAGAGTCAGCAAAGAGTTGCTGGTAACGACCGGTCTGCTGCAGAGGAAACACTATATCATTGCACTTGGAAGCATTCAGCGTTAATCGGGTGAGTTTGACCAATGTTTGATTTTATCCAAACAATATTGTAGCATGGTCAAAGATGTTGAAGTTAGATTATACGCGCCGATTAGTAGCTTATCGGCGACTTTTAGCAACATGGCTTGTTCAAGGACAGGTACGGAGTCAACGTAAGTAAAGAATAAGAATGACAGCAAAATGGTTCTTTGAAGGACACTAGGAGTAGTGGTAAGAGGCAAGTAGCTTCTGACGTTGAAGCTGGTTATCTGAGAACGTTTGGCAAAATCATCCTGTAGGAAGAAGGTTGTGGGTGGTTGGATACCAGTAGGCAGGAGCTCTTACGAAGTTTTCACGTTTAACAAAACCGAAGGTGTTGGTATAATCAAGGAAGCAATACGGGTGGCTTCGTTCTTGCTGTCTAGCGACGATACCAATGAGTGCGTTAGACAAGCCTTGTGTCGAGCTCGAATTTCGGTATGCAAATTGATGTACGTCTTTGCGATAGAATTGTATTACCAATTTTGCAAGAATGATTATTCCGATTAGTTTGAGGTCCTGAAGTGCACACAATAGGTCTACATGTACCTGTCGCTTTCCTCGGTATTGGTGTTATGCTTGCAGCTTTCCAACAGCCTGCGATCGTGCCTTGGTTTAAGCACATGGAGTACAAAACACCCAGCGGTGTGGTTAGTGAATCAGAATGCACCTTAAGAACGAAGGTAGACAACCGGTCAACTACACATGATTTGCTGGAGTTTAGCTGCAAAAGTTTCCTGTGAAGTGTTGCAAAACTCAGTCCTTCAGGGACAAGCGTTTATTCGGCAAGGACAGCTCAGCGAAAATTACAGCATGTTTAGCAAGCCAAACTCCTCGATATAAACTGCAGATTCAAGTCCATAACTGACGACCCTTCTGAGTCGATGAGGTTCCTCCTTTGCTTCAGTTAAACAAACAGTGAATCACTCACACGAATATCGGCCAATCCGAGTCCGGTAATCGAATCCGTCGCGCGCGACTCCCTTTGTCTATCTGCCTCGCTCGGTTGGTCCATCTGCTCACTCTGATCTGATACCACCATCACACCCTCTTTTTCGTGTTCTCACGCCTCCATATTGCTATCGACCCGTACACCTTGCCACTCCGCATCGTCTTCGCTGTATCTGCGGCCGTGGTCTCCGTGCCCTACGCCACCCGCCACTCCACTCCCAATCCACATTGTTGTCCCCGATGTCGTCTCAAGTGCACTCGATTTCTTCTGAACCTTTTCCCTCCAACGTTTATTTCGTATGACCTGGCACTGACCCTCGCAGTCACCACCTTTCTTCCACCGCTCTTGACTATCGGGTAATGGTTGCACCCACACTTCCTCCCCCACTGTTAGCTCAGCTAGTACCCGTGCACCGCGGTCATACTACCGTTTCTGAGTGGTCATTCGTCGTCTCAGATTGTTCTGTAATCGTTCGTGCTGTGGCGAAACTGGGCGCAAAAGTGTGTCAGCTGCCGGTTTCAGAGTTCTAGTCCTTCGGCTGTGTAGGCGCTGCACTGGGTTTAAACCGATATTCGTTGAAGGAGTGCTGCGATTCTCCAGTAGCATGAGGGACGGGTCCTCGCCAGTTGCTCTAGCCTTTGATAATAGTCGCTTCGCTTGCTGCACTGCCGACTCCCATCCCCTGACTCCCCGTCCTAATCCGCGTATTTTTGGAGGTCCTCCGGTGTTGCCCTGCCGTCCTGTCCCCCTTTCCCCCCTACCGTCCCGCTCCCCATCCCGTCGTGTCCACTGTCCCCCCCCGGCCTTTGCGGAAGCATCCACCGCCCGGTCCGACCGATCCGCCCTCCACCTGCGTCCGGTTCCTACCACGTCCGTGTCCCCGAACCCCGGTCCGAGTTTTCTACTACGTAGTTCCGCCTCCCGTACCCTCTCCGGCCTCTCCGGGCCGCTATGATCCGATGCCGTGTTTCCGGGTCCTTCCCTCCCTGTTCCCTCCGACCGATCTCATCCCTGTCCGTCGTCCTACCGCCCGTGGGATCATCTCGATCTTCCCAGCCTGGTCGTCTCCGTTGTTCGCCCGTCTCCGCGTCCCCTTCCCGCTCCCGCGTCACATCCACTACCACCCTGGACTTCCGGCGATTCCCCCTCCATCCGATCCCCTCCTTCCCGCACCTACATCCGCGCGTCCTCCAGTAACACTGCGAGCGATAAATTAATTCTCGTGTCCGGAGCTTCCAGTTTGGCTACCTCCCCTCCCGTTTCCGTGTGGGAATTCCCCCTCCCGTATGGCAATCCTCCGTTCCCTGGTGACTCGACCCGATCTCTCCCGTTCCGACTCCGCCGATCTGTCATCCTCCGTGGACAACTTGTGGTAGCCCTAGGGCAATGGGGGTGGTGTATCCCCGTCCTAGCCCCGCCATCCCCGCCAGTCCGCCAAGTGTCTGTCCGCTCCGAACTCCCCCGCGGACTCCTCGATTCCCCTGTCCCCCCCCCCCCGTTCCTCCCTTCCGCGCCTCCCTCATCCCCCTCTCCCAATCCTCCTGTCCGTGCGCCTCCAGATAAATCGTTATTTGGGCGGTACCTACTCCGCTCCGACCGCCTCCCGTATAGAGTCCTCGGCTCCTCTCCCCACTCGTTCCGCCCCCCCATCCGTTTTATGACCCCCATTCCCCCCTCCCCCCCGACGTAACTCGTTCCACAGTACTCCTCCTTCCCTCGTGGGTATCTTCCACATCCTCCAGTACCGTGAGGACTCCTTTCTCCGTTGCCCGGGCCCTCCCACCGTCCCCTCCTACCAGCGTCCGGCCTCCCTCTCCGCACCTCACGTCCGGTCCCTCCCTTTCCCCTCCTGCCCTATTGTCCACGCTCCGAGCCAACCCCCGTTACAGTCTCCTCCGCTCCTCCGCAACTCGCCCTACAACCCTGGTCCCACATCGCCCACCTCCCGAACCGTTAATTGTTGGCCGTACCCGTCCCTCCGTTGATTCTCCCGGGGACGTTCCCGAGCTACCTCCGTCCGATCCGCGACCCCCCCGCCTGTCCCGACTGCCGACTCGCCGAACCTTCCAGTTCCGACACCCGCCCCGGACGGTCCCGGTGCCGGGTTTTTACTTGAGATCTTCCGCGACCGGTTACCCCGTCCTCACGATCCCTCTCCGTCCTCTCCGATTCAGGACTCCCTGCTGCATCCCCCCATCCCTTCGCGCTTCCGAAGTTCCCCCTCCTCCGTCCGTGGATCACGAGGTGGGATCCTGTCGTGTGCTCGCCCCGAGTCCCCTCCCGACGTAAGTGTTATAAGTATCCTCACTCCCGTTCCACCCCCAGTCCCCCTCCCTTTCCCTCCTCCTCCCCCGCTTAGTGCGTCCTTCCTCCGTCCTCCCGATACTCCCGTCCTCACGCCTCTTTCCGGGACCTTTCCTGTCTCCCGCCCCTCCCAGGTTTGCGCGTCCGTCACTCCTTCCGGCCTTTCCCATACCACGGCACCCCGCTTTCACCCCCGGAGTACCGCATCCCTCCACTCCTCCCTTCCAGGCGGTCCCCACTCCGTGTTGGGGGTGTCCGTACCCGCCTCCGACAACTCCCGTCCGCTCCCTCCGTCCCTACCCTCCGTTTTCGTCAACCTCCGATAACTCCCCCTTTCCCGCACGTCCCGGGCTCCTCCCGCAACTCCTTCCCCCCCGAGGTGAACTCCCACATACTCCGCTCCGCATGCCAATCCTCCCGAGCTCCACCCTTCCTCCAACTCCCTCCCCGTCCGTATCCTTTCCCGTCCATCTCACTTCGCTCCCCCCAACTCCTCCTTCCGCCAGTGCCGTCCTTCCTCGGTCCCGCCACCTCCGGTATGCTGTTGGGTCCCTTGTTCCTCACCTCCCCATCCGCCCTCGTTGTCCGTCCCTGACCTCCCGAAATCCCCCCCGCCCCATCCTTGATTTCCGTGTCGTTTGGTACTCCCACAAATTCCTTCCCCTCCCCGGTTTATCTCCTTGTTCCCTTCCCTCCCACAGTTCCTCTCCTCCCCTACCTCCGATAGCCCCGACCCTTCCACCGTTCCGGGGGTGCGACCTGGCCCTCCGTCCGTCCGTTTTACCCCCAGCTCCGGGAGGTCCCCCGGTATCTGTTTCCTCTCCGTTGCACCAACCTCGCTCCCATCCGTCCTCCTCCCCCCGTCGTCCGATCCAGGGCCCGATGCCGTTTTCTCCCATTCCAGCCCTTACCGCTGTCCTATCGATTTTCCCCCCAGTGTGCCTGGTCCGTCCCCCGGTTGTTTTTCCTCTCCGTTCCATAACTCCCGCCCCTGTCCACCGGAGTGAATCCAGCCCCCCTCCCCACGTTGGGGTGATATTCCGCCCTCCCCTCCCCCTGCTCCCCTACCGCCCCTCGGGTTTCCGGTCCCACGATTTTCCTTCCACTCCATCCGTATCATATCCTCCTCCGCCGCTTCCTCATCCCGTC